GCAATGAAAAAGAACGAACTGATTACTCATGCAGCAATACCAATGAAAAGGTATTATGCTAAGTAAAAAAAGCCAAACACAAAAGACTGCATGTTAAAGGATTTCATTTATATGGCATTCCTGAAAGCAGATAAGAAGTTGATAGAAACCAGAGAGTGGTGTGGTAGGAATTACCTAGAAAGTAGCAGGAGGGAATTTTTGAAGGTTACTAAATTGTTTTATAAAGTGTTTGCTACGGTCATTGAAAACTGTATATGCATTTGTTAAGTTGAATTGTAGTTTTAAAGGGGGTAAATTGTAATAATATATAAATTTTTTTCAAAGCTGAAAAAGAATACCTAAAAATATTATTACAGAACTAAAACCAAACATCAGTTATTTAAATAAATGAGAAAATGCTTTAAACTCCTCTATGACTAGATAAAACTCTAATTCTTAATTAAATAGAAATAACTGTGTACTTACTGTCTTCACAAAACACCAAAAAATCCTACAAAGTTTAAAATAAAATGTATATTAAGATGTCTCAGCTCTGTGAAGACAATATGTTGTGGATTTGTTAATTTCAGGCTAACTCAAATATAAGATATACTTAATTAGATTAAAATTAATAATTTTAAGTTGACAGGCTTAATACCCAAAGGATAATATAATAATCAAGTTATTTTCTAAGTTGAAGGCTTCCAAATACATCAAACAAACATTGATAGAAATATGAAATATGTTGGGAGAGTTTCAGCTACAGAAAAGGCAATAAATTTGTTAATGGCAAAAATAATTTTGAAAACACAACATTATTAGATACCAAACTGCACATCTATCAAATGGAATAAGAAGAGAGTTTCAAGTATTCATGAAAAAAATTTACACAGATGACAGTATATGAGCGCACTGAAAACCTCATTAAGTTTCAAACCATAAACATTACATAGGCTCCACTCTTGACCACAGTACAGCAAGACTACATATCACAAATAAACTTAAATGGGAGGTTCAGAGAACTTGGATATTAGGGAAGAGTGAAGAATCTTCCTAAATGCTTATTTAATCCAAAAGGAAATAAAAACAAAAATTATAGCCTGTTTTGATAATAGCAGAAGAGGAACATTTCACACTAAAGTTTATGGAATGTGCCCAAAGCTGTCACTGGAGATGTTTTAATAGCCTTCAATTCTTTCATTATTCAAAAACAAAGAAGATGATAAATGGATCTCACATTCCATTCAGTAATTGAAATGTGAACAATGGTGTGTCCCTAAGGAAAGCAGAAGGGAAGTAGAGTTAATAGCAGAATCCTGTGAAGTAAGAAAAATAAGGAACTGAAAACACTAGAAATATTAATTAATTAATTAATTATGGCTAACTAAAATATTAATTTGGACTTAATTTTCATGTATAAGAAGATGGCAAACCTCTGGTGAATTTAATAGTAAACAGTGGATGAAATATTAATAAACAAAAGGACGAATAAGATTGTATACAACAATATGCATAGAAAAATGGTAATAAAATAGCAATAATAACCACCATTTATTTGGCACTTATCACATTCCAGATATAGTTTTTTTGTTTTTTGGGGTTTTTTTTTTTTTCTTCTTTTAGTTATGGTCTCATTTTGTCGCTCATGCTGGAGTGCAGTGGCATGATCATAGCTCACTGCTGCTGTGGCTTCCTGGGCTCAAGGGATCCTTCAACCTCCACCTCCTGAGTAGCTGGAACTACAGACATGCACCACCAGGTCTGGCTTATTTTTTGTTTTTTGTTTTTCTAGAGATAAGGTCTTGCTGTGTTGCCTAGGCTGGTCTTGAACTCTTGGGCTCAAGCAATCCTCCTGTATCGGCCTCCCAAAGTGCTAGGATTACAGGCATGTACCACTCTGCCTGGATACATTACTAAGTATTGAGTGTAGATTTTATCATTTAGTTCTCACAACCCCTTGAAATCAGTGCTGTGCCAATTATCTGTGGTAGATGAGGAACTGAGTAGAGACAAAATTGACCAAGACTTATCTGTGGTGTGTCAGAAAGAGGAAGTGAGTTCTTCAGCCCGGCCCTTGGCCTGGGCTTTTCACTCTGACTCAGGGCAACTCAACACTGTATAAAATTCCATGCTGATTTATGAAAGTATTGAGGTGTAATGTTGTGTTTGCCTGAAAGAATATTTGCATTGATTGCTGCCAATTGCCTGAGGCACTGTCAGTCCTTATCACTTTGAATTAAATTTTGCACTTGAGGTCTGTCAGACCTAATAGGTAGCTTGAGTTCAGCCCACATAGCATTTTGTGTCTACTGCTTGGAGGTGCTTATTTCTCAGGGCAGGCCCCCACCAGCCCTGACCCCACCTTAGTGACCATCAAGGCAAAATTCAGTGTTTGCTGCTCCTTCCTTTTGTGTGCTGGAGTTTGTTTCTAAATGACCTAGACGCTAAGAGTACAGGATTTGGGGTCTTAACTTCATGCACGTGTCCTTATTAAGCAAGACCTGGGCCTTATCTTCTCTCTCCTGTACTCCCACAGCAGTGAAAGCAGAGCTTCAAGAGCAGCCGGCCTCGGGGCAGTGCCTGGTGTCAGGAATTACATATATTCTGATTTTTCAGCTTAGACTCGTTTTTAATATTTGTAGTTTTGTTTCCATGCTGACTCAAGTTTTACACAAACACACACATATACACACACACATACATATGTATTTAACTTTTAAGAAGTTTTCACTGTGAGGGTGTGAGTGTTATCTAGTTTGCCATCTTACCTGAAATAGAGATGTTACCTCTCCAGCTGTCCTCTAAAGTTTAGTTGGCATCTCAGGGAAAGGTTCTGGGCCCACCATTCTGTTAATAAGTGGATTCCCTACTTTAGGTTATCATGCCACCTGTGTGTCAGTCTTGGTAAGGATTCTGAGCCGGATCGACTCAGCAGGGAAGAGTTCCTTGAGAAGTTACTTTTATCTTGCTGTGAACATAAAAAGGAAGAATGGGAAGAATGATATGTTCTGCATATCTATCAACTTTCTCCTTTTTTTTTTTTTTTTTTTTTTTTGAGTTGGGGTCACCCTGGCTGGGATGCAGTGGCACATAGTTTACCCCAGCCTCTGCCTCCTGGGCTCAGGCAATCCTTCTGCCTGAGCCTCCTGAGTAGCTGGAACTACAGGTGAGTGCCACCACAACTGACTAATTTTTAAATTTTTTGAGAGATGAAGTCTCACCATGTTACCTAGGCTAGTCTCAAACTCCAGGGTTTAAGAAATCCTCCTGCCTTGGCCTTTCCAACGTGCTGGGGTTATAGGCATGAGCCACCATGCCTGGCCTCAACTTTAGCTCAAGGAAGAATTTCCAACTATAGAGAATAAGTGAATTATGCAGCAGGAGGCATTATTGTGATTGAGCATTTGGAAAATGATCAAATAGGCTTTTGCCAGGGGGTGTGTGTGTGTGTGTGTGTGTGTGTGTGTGTGTGTAATTTGTTTTGATTAAAGACTTTAGTTTAAAAACATAAACATTAAACAAAATTAGAAGAAAAATATGAAAGTTTTGGTCTAAGAGTAAGTGTGATTTCTGTATGTCCAAGAGAAATGAAAAAAAATTCTTGAAGAAAAATTTTAGTGAATTTGTTAATTGGAACCAGAAAATCAAGGGGAAAAACTGAATAAACCCTTGAAACAAAATTAAATGATAAGTGATAAGTTGAGAAAATTATACTCAAAGCAGATATGACATATAACATATAAAGAGCTTTTACAAATGAATAGGAAAATTATACAGAAAAATGAATAAAGAATAATAAGGAATTCACAAAAGACATCCAAATAATAAAATATATATTAATAAAACAACATCACTAAATATTCAAAGACATAGAAAATTAGATTTTTAAATCTAAATTGCAAAGATTCTTATGTGTTTTTATTACCTATTATTGGCAAGTATCCATTAAGACCAATTCTTATGAAAGTGTTTATTGTAAATGAACATCAGAATAGCCTTTTTAATATTTTGGCAATATCCATCTAAAGATTCTTAATATATATGCTCAGTAATGCAGACATTCCTTGCCCTGAGGTAATAGAAGTGGACTCAAAGGATTTCTTCATGGTATTGTTTGCTTGCAGTAGTAAAGCTTAGACACAACCTAAATCCCAGCAGTGGTGAAAGGGTAGATAGGTTGTGGTACACCTTCACAATGGGATGTTTCAGTCTTTTCAAAATCATTTTAAAATAAGGTTTTTATTGATTGAATAACAAAGTTGAATATTGCTTGGATAAATAAAAGGGGAATACTTGTGATTTATTACTAAGCTTTAAAACAAACAGGAAACTATTTCCACTCAAAATGTAAAGGTGTCTGTGTAGTTTTATTCAAAAAGGAAGATCATAGACTACTGTTTAATATGTTACCTCTGGGTACAGGTATTCCAGTGTTTTTGTTTTGCTTTGATTGCATTTTACCAAATTTCTGTCATAGCACAGTTTTTTAAAATATGCTTTCCCTAGTCTTGAAAGGAACAGAGGGAGGGAAAGAAAGAGAATTCCTTAGTCTTGAAAGGAACAGGGGGAGGGAAAGAAAGAGTATTGGGTTCAAACAGATAGGTGATGGAATAGAAACCCTCTTGTTCTACCTGTGTGGGGGCAGCACTGTGTATTCCCGTGTATAAGAGTACCACATAAACCAGGCATGGTAGCTCATGGCTGTAATCCCAGCACTTTGGGAAGCAGAGGTGAAAGGATTGCCTGAGCTCAGGGGTTTAAGACTAGCCTAGGCAACTTGGCAAGACCTCGTCTCTACAATAATCAAAAAATTAGCCAAGCATGGTGGCACACACCTGTAGTTCCAGCTACTTGGAAGACTGAGATGAAAGGATTACCTGAGCTCAGCAGGTGGAGGCTGCAGTGACTGTGAGTATGCCACTGCACTCCAGCTTAGGTGACAGAGTGAGAACCCAACTCAAAAAATAAAAAAAAAAGCACCCCATATTCTGGGGTCCAATCTGCGTGGGAATTATGGCTATCATGGGTGCTGCCGTTTCTGTAAGAGAGGCTTGCGAGTGCTGCAGCCATGTCTTATCTCGCTGATGATTATGAGTCTGAGGCGGCTTATGATCCCTATTCTTACCCGGGCGACTATGATATGCACACAGGAGATCCAAAACAGGACCTTGCTTATGAACGTCAATATGAACAGCAGACCTATCAGGTGATCAAAAACTTCATCCAGTATTTCCACAAAACCGTCTCGGATTTGATTGACCAGAACATGTATGAGCTACAGGCCAGTCGTGTCTCCAGCGATGTCATTGACCAGAAGGTGTATGAGATCCAGGACATCTATGAGAACAGCTGGACCAAGCTGACTGAAAGGTTCTTCAAGAATACACCTTGGCCTGAGCTAAAGCCATTGCTCCACAGGTTGGCAATGATGCTGTCTTCCTGATTTTATACAAAGAATTATATTACAGGCACATATGTGACACAGTCAGTGGGGGACCCTCCTTGGAGCAGAGGTTTGAATTCTATTACAACGACTGCAGTCTCTTCAACTACATTCTTAATGCTGATGGTCCTGCTCCCCTTGAACTACCCAATCAGTGGCTGTGGGATATCATTGCTGAATTCATCTATCAGTTTCAGTCATTTAGTCAGTACCACTGCAAGACTGCCAAGAAGTCAGAGGAGGAGATTGACTTCCTTCATTCCAATCTCAAAATCTGAAATGTTCACAGTGTCCTCAATGCCCTTCATTCCCTGGTAGACAAATCCAACATCAATCTTCAGTTGGAGGTGTGCACAAGTGGAGGTGACCTTGAGAGTGTGGCTGGGGAGTATGGATGGCACTCCCTCTACAAGATGCTTGGTTACTTCAGCCTGGTGGGGCTTCTGCGCCTGCACTCCCTGCTAGGGAATTACTACCAGGCCATCAGAGTGCTGGAGAATATCAAACTGAACAAGAAGAGCATGTATTCCTGTGTGCCAGAGTGCCAAGTCACCACATACTATTATGTTGGTTTTGCATATTTGATGATGTGTCGCTACCAGGATGCCATCAACTTCTTTGCTAACATCCTCCTTTATATCCAGAGGACCTGTCAGTATGAGACGATTAACAAGAAGAATGAGCAGATGCATGCACTAGTGGCCATCGCCCTCACCATGTACCCCATGCATATCGACAAGACCATTCACCTCCAGTTGCCGGAAAAATATGGTGACAAGATGCTCACAAGTCTACCAGGAACTTTTTAGCTACTCCTGCCCCACGTTCCTGTCACCTGTAGTGCCCAACTATGACAACGTGCACCCTAACAACCACAAAGAGCCCTTCCCGCAGCAGCTGAAGGTATTTTCTGATGAAGTGCAACACCAAGCCCAGCTCTCAACCATCTGCAGCTTTCTCAAGCTCTACTCCACCATGCTTGTGGCCAAGCTGGCCAGCTTCCTGGACCTCCCAGAGCAGGAGTTCCGGATCCAGTTTCTTGTTTTCAAACACAAGATGAAGAACCTGGTGTGGATCAGTGGCATCTCCGCCTTAGATGGTGAATTTCACTCAGCCTCTGAGGTTGACTTCTACATTGACAAGGACGTGGTCCACATTGCAGATACCCAAGGTCACCAGGTGCTATGGAGATTTCTTTATTCATCAGATACACAAATTTGAGGAACTTAATCGAACCCTGAAGAAGATGGGCCGGAGACCCTGAAGGTGTTCACACTCATATTATTCAGGAATCTGTTTTGCTATCCTGAAACCTTCACCTAGATCAGCCGTCAGCCAGTCAACTAAGTTGAAATTTTTTCAAACTAAGGACTGAAATGTTTTAAGTAGATCTTAGTAAAGGATCTTTAGAGCCAGATTTTGCCTCATTATTGTAGGGGAGATTCTGGATCGTGACAGCCAACACATTATTTTTCATGTGTCATGATGCTTCAATTATTAGTGTTAAGTTGAATTATTTAATCCCTTGTGTTCATAAAGTGCTATACAGTCTGAAGGACAAAAAAAAAAAGAGAGGCTTGCAGGTGAGAATCTGGTTGGAGGAACTTCTTGGGACTTTGTGTGTGTTAAAGTGCCTACCCTTTTTACTCAGTTCATGCTTGCAGTGTCTTTTTGGGACACAGCAAGGAGCATAATGGGGAGGGGTCACTAAGAACTTTGTTTCCTTTGCATCTTTTTGTGCAGCCACAGTGATTCCTTCCTACATTATCTGTGTGGTCAGTTTCCTAGTGTTTTACATCCTGATCTAATAGCAATTAGATCGCTTTTGGTTGCAAGTTTTTTTTAAAGAAATAACCTTAGTAAAAATGGTTGAAACAATCTACTAATTTGTCTCAAATAGCAAGAAGCCCATGGGTTGGCAGTTCCAAGAATGATGGTTATTGCATTAGGGATTCTTTTGGGTTCTTCAGGGTTTCAAGGGGTCAGAGTAAAGTCAGCTCCTCACAAGACAGTGGGGAGGAAGAGAGAGAGCCTTATTCTTATATTCTCTTTCTTTTATCTGTGTGTGTGTGTGTGTGTGTGTGTGTGTGTTTCAGTCTTCTCAGCAGATAATTGGAAGTGCAGCCCTGGATAGGCAACCAGTAGAGTCGCCCACGTTTCCTTTGTGAGTTTGTTGTGAGAAGAAAATGCCTATTTAGGAAGCAGGGATAATCAATCCATGTACATTTTGCTCTCTGTTGCTCTTTTTAATCTGTGCCTTCTAAGTTAGCCAGTTTGAAGTTTGGGTTGGATAACACGGTTAGGATTTTTCAAAGCTCTGAGTAGGTACATGGGGAAGGTCCCAGCCTTCCGAGACCAAGGCGGGTGGACTGCCAGTAGAGTTCCCATTCTCTCAGTAGCACAGGGAAATCTGCTAGCTCGGAAAACCTGATGTTAACTCTATCCATCTAGCTCAATTTTCACCTGACTAGGAGGCAGGAGCTCAGGTCTGTGCCTTGATACAAGTCAGTCAGTAGATAAGGATTTGCTGTAAAACACACCATTCCAGGAAAATTTAGACATAGGAAAGCTAATGTCATCTTCAAGAATTTAGTGAAACTAATGAAACAGGGCACAGCACAATATCAGTCAGTTACCAGTTGGGCAGTCAGGGATGACTTCACAGAAATGGGACTCTAGCTGGGCCTTAGGGGCTACTGTGATTTCCAGAGGAGGTGGGGAAAAGGTGGGTGTTCCCCATGCTAGGTACATCATTAACAAGAACGCAGATGAGGAGGGGGTGAAGAGAAGGCATAAGAGCATTTTATCTTGCTCTAGGGATTAATGACAGGCTTTTGTTGCCCAAAGAAGAGAATGCCTTTTCCCAAGCAAAAGTCCTTTGCCTGCTTATTATCTGCTGAGCTTAGCTGCAAAAGTTAATATCCTAGTTGTTAAACTTTTTCTATCAGAAAAGAAATGCCACTTATTTTCTCTGCCTGACACTTCCTTCTGTTTTTCACATATGAAGGCCACTCCTTTTGGTAGTGGAGAAGACGAATAAAGCAGATCTCTTTAAACTGTCACCCAGGACTGCTCAGAATGCCCATGGTGGGGTTAGTGGGTGGGTTAATTATTATCTTTGAGACTTCAGTATCTATATAGTCAGTATGTCCACATTTTAATTAAAAACAAACAAGCAAACAAATGGAATGCCTACAAAATGCTTCTTGGAAAGTGCTGGGGAGTTTCCACAGTAAAAATGGTGACCCACAAAGGATGATCACAGAGGGGAGATATATGTGTACCCAAGTGAGTTGCCTGAGAAGTAAACAGGGCGAGAGAAACATGCTACGTAGTAGATGAGTGGAGACCTAACTGGCCTTATATTTGGAAAATTGAACTTTCAATTTACAGTGTATAGAATTCATTTTAAAAATCAGTGTTCCTGACCTGTTCAGTAGGTTTGAGGGCAAAAGATGGAGCTGAATGGAATAGGCATTGTCAAATTACTTTCTGAAGTTCTATTTTTCTTTTTTATTGGATAACTTACAACAAAATGCCAACAGTATGCCCTAAGAGGCATTGCTAGGATGAACAACTAAGTCCAGAACCCTGACCTTAAGGTTCTCAAGTCTAGTAGCCTAGTGACAATGTGGATCCTACGGGCAGGAGTCTTGGTGGATAAGTAGGAAATCAAGAAAGAATAAAATTGGTTCATATTCTCCAGAGTTACCATTTTGCCCTATGATGGTTCCCAAAGAGAAGGTATAGAAAGAAGTGTTTTGGTTAAAATCTACCTTTATACACTGCATTTGTCCTGTGCAGATGACCACATTGAGAAGATTGATATTAACAGCTGATTTGACATATCGGATTTGGCAAAGAGGTAGATCTGGGATGTGGGAGAGAGGGAACATATGATTCCTGAATTCTGGAACAAGCTGGTGGGTACACGGTGGTAGAGGAATGTGGAAAATTGAGGAAAGGGCAGTCTTTGGCAGGAGGAGCAAGAGTTCTCTATTTGTCATCTAGACATCCACTTAGCTGTGGTAGGTAGGCCATATGGTATATGTGACTGGAACTCTCCAAAGTGAAGGGCTCATACTTAATGTGGGTTTTTTCCTCCTGACAAGTGACATAGTTCAGGACTGATCAGCAGGGGACACAGGCGCCCTATTATTTCGGCATCCTGCAAAGTGGTGTTCCCAGGTGGGGCACAGCCAGGTACACCCCGGAGCTATGATCCAGCAAAAAGAATTCACCCTCCCCTTCCAGGACAATTATGTTGACTTAGTAAAGTTAACATTTGGGGCTCAGAAGCAGGGGAGTCTGAACATAGGTGAAAGTGTTTGGGGGACCGCTAAGCAGCACCAACTATCCAGCACCTGGAACCTGAAGACCTTGGTTCAGTGTGAAGTTGAGTTTGGCACGTACCTGCCTTGGTATGGTGGAAAGGTGTAATCCCTCTTGCTGGGAGGGGCCCGCCAAGGACTAAATCACTGACTTCAGCCAAGAGACACGTCCCTGAATCAGTCACTAGACAGTCTTGCTTGTCTAAACTTTATATTCTCTCACATGTTTGTCTCATTTAATTCTTTTCTTATTTGTGGAGGCTGTGGAGTTGTCACTTTTCTTCCTTTCAGTAAGGATGCTCAGGTCTTTAATCCATCCTCCTTCGTCTTTCAAGGTCATTTCTCACCTCTAGGTAAAACAGAATTTTCCATTAGGGTCAAAACTGAGGCAAAACTTGGATCCTAGAACCAGGATTGAATCAAGAATGTGCTTGTTCATCTGCATACATTTTTTTGAGTTTTCACCAGTATTTTTGAGCAAGGTGCCTCAGCCTTAGTATTAGTGATGTTCTGGGCCAGATAATTATATGGCTTTTTTAAAATTCGTTTTTTTGTTTTTTAATTGCAAGGCTGTCCTGCCTAAGGATTTTGAGCGGCGTCCCTGGCCTCTGTCCACTATATTCTAGCCGCCCCCTCTCCCAAATTCTGACAATCAAAATTGTCTCTCGCCAGATGTCCCTTGGAGGAAAACTGCACTTACATTAGCAGCTGACAAAATTGCCCCCACATTATAAACAGAATTAGGGGTGACTCTAACTGTCTAGGCAAGCACTGACTCTGATGCTTTTGAAGGCGATGAGATGGACAAGTCAAGCCACTCAAGTTAGAGACCGGGCAGTTATATGTATGTCTTTATTCCCCGTCACATGAAATGTAAGATGCTGCCTGCACTGGATGCATCACTTGTGGACCCCATCGTGATGTCCATTCATAACACTCTTTCCTCATTTGGGACACTGAAGGACCAGATTCTCTGTGCCCTCCAGTTGAAACAAGGAAGGCAAGCCAAGCAAAATACCTTCGTTTGTCTCTAAACAAAGATTGCTTTGAATAGGAAACTTGGAAATGTTTCAAATTTTCATCCTTGTTGCATCATTTCACCAACATGATTTTGGGAAAGGATGAACATAATTATCAAAATATGAGTTTTCTTGCCTAAGACAATAGACTCTACTGACTCTACTTCATAGCCTATTAATTCCATCTGTTTCCCATGATAAAGTCCATGCATTAAGAAGTGGTGTTAGAAGGCCCACAGCCTCTTTTTTTAAATTTAATTTTATTATAGGAATGTGGGGTCCAAGTAATGATTAGGTACATAAGTAGGCTACGTGCAGGTGAGGTTTGGGCTTCTGATTGGCCCTCACTCCCCCTGGTAATGACTCAAGTACTCTGTGTTGTCATGTGTCCCTCTCACTCTTTTTCCTCCCTCCCTCCCCTAGCAGTGCCCAGTGACTGCCAACCTCTGGCGTGTGCTTTTGTGACTAACGCTCAAGGCCTACTTAGGAGTGAGAACAGGCAGCATTGAAATCTTTGTTTCTGTGATAGTTCACTTACTGTGATGGTCTCTAACTCCATCCAATTTACTGTGAAGTTCATGATTTTGTTCTTCTTGATGCCTATGTAATATTCCATCATGTATATGTGCCATATTTTCTTTACTCAGTCCACTTTCAATGGGCAGTATGGTTAGTTCCCTGTTTTTTGCTATTGTATAAAGTGCAGCAATAAACATGCATGTGTGGGTGTCTTTTTTATAAAATGGTTTATGTTCCTCCAGGTATATTCCCAGGAGAAGGATTGCTGGATCTTATGGAAGGTCAGTCTTCAGTTCTTTTTAAGAATCGCCGCACTGCTTTCCATAGAGGTTGAATTAGCTCACATTTCTACCAAGGGTGGAGAAGCGTTCCCTTTTCTCTTCACCCTCACCTGC